ACATGACATCTTATCTCATTCTTACTTTGGACAAACCTGGCAGGTTACCGAATGTAACCTGCCCACACGGCAGAGTCTGGCAAACTCCCCGTGGCGTACCCAATATGCCAAATACCAGTAACAATGATGGGTCTCATTCTCCTAAGCCAGAAAGAGCCTTTAATATGGCACTTTTTAAAAATCTCAGGGCTAGGACGAATGAGACGTTACTGGGGCCTGCTCGAGGCAATCGACGAACAACAGGATGGTCGTGATCATGATCGTGATGAAATAAATTAAAAAAATTAATATAGAGCTCACATAAATTTTCTAGCTGGTCAGTAGAAATGTTGTCTCTGCCTTAGAATTGTTTAGTCCAGTTAAGGGTCAAGTACTTTATGTAAAAATGATTTATTGAAAGTTTCCTGAAAACTGGCTTCCTGATTGCTTTCCCGGTATAATTGAAGATTTGACATAACCTTTGTGTAATATACAAATACCAATGATACAGTTTGAAGATGGTTGTATGTGCTGAGTCTGTGGCTCAGTGGTAAAGCACCTGAATTGCCTGTCAGAGGTCCTTACTTCAGTCCTCAGCAATGCAAAAAAAAAATGTATTTACATTTGTAATGAATCCAGAGCACAATGGCCATAGTTTAACCTTCAAAGAAGAAACAATGATAAACCTTCCTACTTTTTTTTTTTTTTTTGACTGGGAGGAGGAGTTAGAGCCACACAGAGGACTGAGGATTTAGGGATTGTTCAGCTTTGCTTAGGACACAACATAGTGTTTGGAATTAAACCCAGGCCTTTCACATGCAAAGCATGTGCTTCAGCTCTTTGGGCTACTTTATTCTGAGTTACAAACTTCTATTGGCAGCTGATATTGGGAGAGGTACCTGAGAAATAACTACTTGTATAGATGTATGGATTTTTATCTGATAAAAAACATTGAAGAAGCTTTTGATCACTCTTTTTGTTTTTAAGCCACACTCAGCGGTACTCAGTTTACTTCTGGTCTGCACTCCTGAGGGCAGAGCTTGGGGACCATAAAGGGTGCCAGGATTGAACCTGGGTTGTCCATGTGCAAGGCAAGTGCCCTACTTGGTCTACTGTTTCTCTGGCTCCTCTCTCATAATTTTTTTTTTGAGATGTCACACCCAGCAGTGCTTAGTGTTTACTCCTAGCTCTTTGCTTAGGGATTACTCCTGGGGGTGTTCAGGACGTCATCTGAAGTATTGCGAACCAGGATCAAAACAGGATATGGCTGCACTCAAGACAAGCGCCTGATCCCTCTACACTCTTCTCAACCGTCTTTTTCTTTTGTTTTTGGGCGACACCCAGCTTTGTTCGCACTTACTTTTGGCTCTGCACACAGGGGTCACTCTTGGCAGGCCCTGAAGCCATATGAGGTTCCATGAATTGAATCCAGATGGGCTGGACACAAGGCAGGCACCTTATGGTCTGGACTCTTCTGGCCCTTGACCCAAACTGTTTTTGTGGGTTTTTGCTTTGTTTTGTATTTTTTTTTGTTTGGGAGGGGGGTTACTCCTGGCTCTGCACTCAAGAATTATTCCTGACAGTGCTTGGGGAACCATATGGGATACTGGGGATAGAACCAGGGCCAGACACCTGCAAGGCAAGCACCCTACCTGCTGTACTCTCTCTCCAGCCCTGGAATTAAGTAACAAGTTTTATACTGCAAAAAGATAGATGCTAAGAGCCTATCGGGTGACCTAGAGAATTTTTTTCTCTTTTTCTTCATCACCAAAAATGTTTGACTTTGCAGTTTATTAGCTTATCATGTTTTGTGAAGTTTACTTATACTTTGGCAAGCCTAAATTATGAGCTCACTGAAAAACTGCTGCCTGACTTGAAAAAGGTGGAATTGTAGATATCTGGAAACTTTTTATAAAATGACACAGAAGAGTTAAGTTGAGAGACTTCTGACCCCAAACTGCTTCTTTACTTAATAATTCTTTTTCTCTCTGAAAAGTATTCTAAAGACTTCTTGTCTGTTATTTTCTGAGAGCAAGATTATTATTCTTTTTTTGTTTTTCCTGTGCTGAATGTCAAACCTTGTCCACATACATACAAGGCAAGTACTCTGCTGTCAAACTACATCCCTGGCAAGATTCTGTACTTACGGACATCATATTTCTGGGGGGTGGGGAGCACACCCAGCAGTGCTCAGGACTTACTCCTGGGTCTGCACTCAGGGCGCTCCTGGCGGGGCTTGAGGACCATGGGGAATGTTAGGGATGGAACCTGGGTCGGCTACATGCAAGGCAAGGACCTTAGCTGCTGTCCTGTTGCCCCAGCACCTTATGTACATAATTTCTGTCTTATTTCCTCTGTGAGTTGGAGCCAGCTAACATTGTCTTGCCTGCATTTAGGTCTATGTTGCTGATTTGAGGGTGGTTTACCTATCTTTAATTTTCCCAGTTTGTGTTTTATGTTTCACGAGGGTTCTCCAATTTTCCCATTTTATGTGTATCTGTTTTTGTTAGGAATTCAAGCCCAGGCCTCTTACATGCAAAAAGCATACGTTCTACCTCTGAACTATATCTCTGGCCTCAAAATTCCATTTTGTTTTTAGTACTGGCATAGAGAATATACCATATTACGTATGGAGCATGGATGCTATTTTCAGAACTGCAAACAAAAAAAGTTTTATGTAAGTAGTGCCAAGGATTAGACAGGGCCTCACACATGCAAAGTAAGTGCTCTACATTCTTGGCATATTTACTATTGGGCATCGGCAGTTTATTCAGTTTGTTTTCAATTTTGGTTATTGGGTTACACCTAGCAGTGCTCAGGGATGACTTCCCACTCTGGCACTGACTCCTGGTGCTGCTTGAAGAGCCATGGAGATGGTGATGGGACCCAGGTTTCTTGCATGCATGCAAAGCATATGCACAAACCCTTTGGGCTCTCTTCCTGGCCCCAGCAGCTTATTCAGATAGAAATCCTTTGGTGAGACCAGAGCAATAGTACAGTGGGTAGGGCACTCCCTTGCATGCGGCCAACCTGGGTTTGATCTCTGGCATCCCATACGGTCCCCCAATCACTACCAGGAGTAATTCCTGAGTGCAGAACCAGGAGTAACCCCTAAGCATCGCTGGATGTGACCCAAAAAGCAAAAACAAAAACAAAAAAAAAAAACAAAAAAAAAACTCAGAAAATAGAAATCCTTTGGTAAGCATTAAAGATTCAGATAGCACTCAAGTCCAAAATATTTAGGTTGGCCTATAAGAATATTTTCATAACTACATGCAGGTATGAAGCTCATGAAATGTGTATTGAAAGCTGTGTCTCTATAGATTATTCTGAAAAGTAAGTCGCACACCTGATTGGAATCTGAAAATATCAAGGAATTAATTATCAAGAGGGGCTGGAGTGATAGTACAGTGGGTAGGGCATTTGCCTTGCATGCACTCGACTGGGTTCAATACTCAGCATCTTATATGGTCCCCAAGCCCCGCCAGGAGTAATTCCTGAGTGCAGAGGCAGGACCAACCCCTGAGCATTGCCAGGTGTGGCCACAAAACCAAAATAAGTAGGTAATTTGTAAATAACTTAATCTTCGACCCATGTGCCTTTAATATTACTAGCCATAGAAATAATTTCTGTTGTCTGACACCCAGCTAAAATGGCTCTATGAAGGGGATAAATTTTTATACTGTTATAGAAATGTAAAAAACAAGACAATCATGATTTGGATTTAATAGATCTAGATAAACTCTGAAAATAGGTGATGGTAAACTCCTATATTAGGTGACTGTAAAATGCTTACTTCCAAGATAATGAATTGTTTTAAAAATGAATATACTAATAAAGTAAGTTGACTTCTGCTTTTATTCACATTATTTCATTAGTGTTTCTGGCTCATCAAACCGTAGGAGGGTTGTTCAGGCTTTTAATTTCTTTTAGTTTTGGTGAAACTAGAAAGTTTTTATTGAAACTTATCTAGAAAGATGTGATGGGAGAGAAGGGCTGAAGTACATATTCGAGAGAGAACACGGGCTTCTCCAGAATGGAAAAAGGCAAGCAAAGAAACGGAGACAAGCAAGCAAGATAAGTGTTCAAAGGGGAACATGGGCTTGAAGAGTAAGCCTGTCCAGGCTTTTTAGTATCTTTCATTATAGGAACTTTTAAGCTCGTTTAGTTTTATGGACTATTAAAATGATCTCCCACCAAAATATTTGAGAAAAATGTTCCTGAATATCCTGTCTGATATACTTAAAATGAATACTTGAAAATCAAGTTTAAGAAGAATAGAAGAATACCTAGAAGAATAAAGCAGTGACTTAGAGCACCAACCATGTAAGCACCTGGTCAGAAGTTTCCATTATAGGGGCTAGAGCAATAGTACAGCAGGGAGGGCATTTGCCTTGCATGCAGCCAACCAGGGTTCGATCCCCAGCATCCCATATGGTCCCTTGTGCACCACCAAGAGTAATTCCTGAGTGCAGAGCCAGTAGTAACCCTTGAGCATTGCTGGATGTCACCCAAAAAGGCAAAAAGAAAAAAGTTCCCGGCGTTGGTATGCACATGCAACAAGCATAGTCCTAGAAGACACACTGCGCAGCACCGAGAAAAGCAGTCTGACAGCAGAGGAGCACAGCCACCAAAAAGACGTGACCGCTAAAGCCAGGAAGTATGACACCTGGCAAGCAGCACAACCAAACCTGAAAGCCTCAACTGAGTGTGAGCCTCAGCTAGCATATACAAGCACTGCAACCTGGTGTGTGACTCGAACTAGCACCACAACCAGCACATGTGCGACCCCCAGTCACAATATCCCTGTGGTGACAAACAGTGACACAGAGAAATCCCAATCATGAAAACTTTGTGCATCTCATGGTGATTCACTTAAAAAATATATTAAATTAAAATACCACAGAAATAAATTTTCTAAAATGAGCGCTATAGTTTACCTGCAAAATGCATTCTCTGGCACTTTAGTTAAACAGTAATTTGCCTGAAAGTATGACTTATCCCTAGTATCAACTCTGAAGATGAATTTGAAAATGATTATGGGACCCCTGAGCACTGTCAGGAATGATCCCTGAGCAGAGTCAAGAGTAAGTCCTGAGCATCACTGGGTGAGACCCAAAAACAAAACACGTTTTAAGTACCTGAGAAGCAGTGTTTCCTCACTAAAACAGTAAGGTTTTTTATGAGTATGGGCTTTCTTTCCAAATCAGGTCATTTCAGCCACAGGTTTTGCCTCATAATCTCAATGGTCAGAGAGAAGTCTAATACCATGATGAACTAGTCTGCTCTCACTGCTATTACCAAGTACCAAAGAAACTGAAACAACAGAACTGATCGTCTGTTTTGGAGTTAAGTCTGAAACCAGGATTTTGGTAGAGGTGACTGCTTCTTAGAGGCTGAAGGGGTGATGTTCTGGGTTTCTAGGCTGCATGTGGATGGCAGTCTTTTATGTTCAGGACATTCCCATTGTTTCAGAAATTCCCCTCTTTAAAAACACTGGCAATATTATATTGTAGCACACCAACAGGACTTCCCATCTCAAATAAACTGTTTATTTTTGTCTAAAGTAAAATGTTGATTTGTCAAAAGTAAAATGAGGATAAGGTGTATTTTAAAACCACAGTAGACACTCTTCCTCTCTTCACAAGAATTACGATGAACACATTCTCGTTGGTGAGGGTAAAAATGTCAAAGAGAAGGAGGAAAAGGTGATGTCACAGGCTAGTATCATCTACTGTGCAGTTTCTATTTATCCTACCGGACTGGGTCTCTTAGGTCCTTTCTCTGGATAAATATCTTTCAGCAGTAAAGTGACTACAAATGAAAAAAAGGCCACCAGAGTGATTATTATCCTCAGGGCTTTGAACCAACTGGGATAATGTGGCAAAAGAAAATGTTCAGCGTGTAACGCTATCCCTAAACCTATGATTACTATGACTATAGCTTCACTGAGTCTTTCCGAAAAAAGAAAAGCAAACCATGAAAATAAAAGAGGAGCTGTGCTGTTAGCTAAATTAAGGTAATCTGCTTTGGCAGGACTACCTTCTGTGAGAGCAAAACCCCATCTAATCCCTCCCAAAAAAGATAGGAAACTAGCTCCATAAGCCATTTGAACAAAAGCTAAAATAGGGATGTAAGACTTTGTTACCACCATGACCAGTGGTGGAGCAACAAGAGGGATCAGTCCTGCCAGAGTTAAATACAACGCTGGCTTTGGGCTGTCGGGGAGGGAAGTGATGCTGCTCGGTGACCTGGCTGGAAGTACTGTTTGCTTTTGCTTTTTAAAACTGCAAGGGGAAGTATGATAGTACTGAATCCTGTTCATGTACGCTGGATATGATGAGAGAAGCCCATGCCGTGGAAACAAAGGGGGAAGAGAATTCTGGAGACAGATCTTGAGACAAAGCCTATCTGTTTTTGTGCTGGACCATCTTCTGACTGTGAAAGGAAACTTCAGCATCTGTAGAGACACAGAACCGGAAGATTAAAACAAAAGCAATACGTACACAACACCAAACTTGATAATTCATTCCAACCTGAAACAATAGAAAAGCCATCTATTTTTTATCAACACATCAAATTTTACAGAAAAGGTGAACTGATTACATCACTGGTTGGCTAATATTAAACAGCTATATAAAATGCCAAAGAAGCTACTGAATAAAAAACTTCTAAGCAGGGATATGGCTCAAGTGGTAGAGTAGAAGCTTTGTATGTACAAGGCCCTAGCTTTAACCCCAGTACCCCAGAGCCTATAGCCAGCCAGTTGTGAACCCCCCACAATAAAAATAAAGAGGATCAGGAAAATGGAAAGCATATATGCCTTGCGTTCAGGGGCCCTGGATTTAATGTCCACACTGCATGATCCCTGGAGAACTTGCAGAAGCAAGCCCTGAGCAGTGCAAGCTGTGTCTAGGTTGGGAAAAAAAATCAAGAGAGTTGGCTGGAGACGTAGTACAGGAACAAGGCATGCCTTGCGTGTGGCTGATCCTAGTTTGATCCCCAGCGCCTATGATCCCCCGAGCACAGAGCACAGAGCCAGCAGTAGCCACTCAGCACAAGTGGGATGGCCCAAACACCCCTGCCCCTGCAAAACAAAACAAAACAACCTAATAGAATAGGAACTAGTGATACAGGGCCCAGAGGGATGGCTCAGTGGCAAAAGTGCTTGCCTTAGGGCTCAGCTCAGGGACATCTCTGGAAAATCTGCCTTATAAGCTTGAAGCCAGTAAGGCTATATGGTCAATTTCTGGCACTGCCCCACATACCTGAGTATGATCCCAGTGGAGCTGCTGTTTGCAATAGCCTTGGCTGCGACAACCAAGTGAGCCACCTCTGGTACAACTCAACAAAGGTGTACAACCCTAGCAAGCACAGCAATCAAGGGTGCGCGGCTTCTGAGTCACCGATACAAGAACATCAAGAACAAAGATCTGTTTTGCAAGTGTGAAGGCACAAGTCTGATTCCTCACAGTGCCCTCATGTGCCCAAGTGTGTTCCTAGCAGTTCTGCTGTTTGGAATCCCCGGAAATAAATATGTGATCTCTGGCCCACTGGTGAGGTGAGTGCAAGTACTCTAAAATGGGTGACTCACAGTGACCACTGCAACTAAAGGTGTGAGCCAAGACTTCAACCCCCAGAGCACACAACCAGAATGGGTTGTAAGAATATGTAAGATGGAGGGGGCTGGAGAGATAGCACAGTAGGTAGGGCATTTGCCTTGCATGTGGCCGACCCGGGTTCGATTCCCAGCATCCCATATGGTCCCCTGAGCACCGCCAGGAGTAACTCCTGAGTGCAGACCCAGGAGGAACCCCTGTGCATCGCCGGGTGTGACCCCCCCAAAAAACAAAACAAAAAAAGAATATGTAAGATAGATACGGATGTCACCCAGTAGTCCAGCACTTACCTTCATGTGTGACACCCTTATGTATGATCCTACACTAAATATACAACACCCTGCTAACCCCCTCCGCCCCCACTACATACCACAAAATGTGCCTGAACATCACCACTAAAGAAGTGGGATCCCTGGCAAGCAAGTGTGCAAACACAACCCAAAGTATTAGGACCTGCAAGGGGGGAGGGGCGGGGGGCAACAAGGAAGGGAGAAGAGGGAGAAGAGAAGGGGATGGCAACGAGAAGGGGAAAACCAGTGACTTTGTTTCAGTCTACCACTAATCTTCGTCCTTAAGTAATTGAAGGAGAAACAGGTGAAGTCTAGGAGTTTACTATATGGCCTCTCCTGTTTATATAGAGGGTATGTAAAAGAAACAGCACTCATACCAGAGAAGATAATTTACCTAGAGGAACACAACTTATCTTCCAATTTTGCTTTATAGGGACCGAGGGACAGTACAGTGGGTAGAGTGCCTGCCGTGCACATGATTGGATCCCTGGCACTCGAGATGGCACTCATATGGCACTTCCACCAGGAGAGATCCTTGAGTTCAAAGCCAGGAGTAAGCTGTGAACACTGTCAGGAATGTCCCTCCCCTCTAAAACAAACAAACAAACAAAAAAAGACAAAAAAAAGACAAGGAATTCTGAAAAGTATATAATATTGGGGTCCTGTATTAGAGCACTTTGGCACATTGGTCTTTGATCACATATGACTGTACTCAAGGCTCATTCCTAGCTCTACATTTAGGGATCACTACTGGCAAGCTTGGGACCCAGGTGCAGTGTCCAAAATCAAGCCTGGTTTGATTACTCCTGCCTCTGTGCTCAGGGATCATTCCTGGTAGTGCTAGGAAGATGAGCAACTCAGATGAGCAACATGCAAAGCAAGCACCCTACCTGCTCTACTACCTCTCTGGCCCTCTTTTTTTTTTTCTTCTTTTTGGGTCACACCTGGCGATGCACAGGGTTTACTCCTGGCTGTGCACTCAGGAATCACCCCTGGTCCCTGGCGGTGCTCAGGGGACCCTATGGGATGCTGGGAATCAAACCCGGGTTGGCCGCGTGCAAGGCAAACGCCCTCCCCGCTGTGCTATTGCTCCAGCCCCTCTGGCCCTCTTGTCGACACTCTGTTCCACTTTCCTATTTTTAAAGATTACTATAGCACTTATCACTTGATATTAAATATTTTTCTATGTCTCCTCAGCTAAGTGAGGATAAAGAATTTCATCTTTTTTCCTAACATTTCTCCAGTCAAGTGATAACTGGAAAATAGATTCAAACGTATGCTGAATAACCAACCTTTGAAGATGTCCGAGAAAACTTCTGGATGAAATGAAGCATACTGTGTACTAGTGAAAATCTTGCTCAGGAAGATGCCACGCAGTTCTGATTGGTATATTATTATGGAAAGTAAAGGATCTGAATCAGAGAGACATATTGCTGGGGGGAAAAAAATCAAAATCATGACGTTACTTTTCTTAACTTTCTCCATAATTTAATGTTTTTGTTTTTGGGAGCACACCTGCCGTGTTAGGGGTGGGGTTGTTCCCATCATAGTGCTCTGGCAGTTCCAAACAGTGCTCAGGGCTCAGGGAATGGACCATGAGGTGCTTGGGATCAAAACCAGGGCTCTCACATGCAAAGCACTTTCGAGCTATCACCCCAGTCCCTTATGTGTAATTTAAAAAATTAACTCACCAGAATTTCTCCTGTTGTTCCTTTGAAAACCATGAATTTTTTTTTGTTTGGGGGCCACACTTAGTGGTGGTTACTCCGAACTCTGCTCAGGGATCACTCCTGGGATCACTTGTGGACGGTACTTGGTGCTGAGGACTGAACCCCGATTGGCCAGTGCAAGGCAAGTACTATCTTTCCAGCCACGAAAACAATATATATATATATATTTTTTTTTTCCTTTTTGGGTCACACCCGGGCATTGCACAGGGGTTACTCCTGGCTCTGCACTCAGGAGTTACTCCTGGCGGTGCTCAGGGGACCATATGGGATGTTGGGAATTGAACCCGGGTCAGCCGCGTGCAAGGCAAACGCCCTACCCACTGTGCTATCACTCTAGCCCCCCCCAAAAACAATATATTTTTAAAGATTTTTTTATCTTTTCTTTTTTGAGTCAGACCCATCTGTGCTAAGCTCCTGGCTCTGCACTTACGATGGGCTCTGGGGAACACAGGTGCCGCCAGGGATCAAACCTGGATAAGCCGCATGCAAAGCGAATGCCTCACCCACTGTCCTACCTCTCTGGCCTTGAAAACAATGTATTTTTAAAAAATCAGTAAAATCAGTAAAAAAAAAACAAATCTTTAAAAAATAAATTTTTTTAAGAGTCCATTTTTGAATTGTTCTTTTAGGTATTGCTACTTGGTGTAAAAGAAAAAAATAATGCAAGAAGGCAGACCATCTGTATTTTATAAATTCTTCTGTTATTTCCCAGCTGTGTGACCTTAGGTAACCCTGCAGTGCCAGTTATTTTATTTTTTTAAGGTGCCAGGGTGAACCCAAATTTTCTCATCTCTTTTTTTTTTTCTGGCTTTTGGGTCACATCCAGCTCTCTTTAAAGGACCATATGGGATACCAGGGTCAGAAGCATGCAAGACTAGCACTGCCTGCCTCCCTCCCTCCCTCCCTCCCTCTCTCCCTCCTTGCTTTTTGGGTCACTCCTGATGTATTCAAGGGTTACTCCTGGCTCTGAACTTAGAATTACTCCTGGTGGTTTTTGGGGGACCATAAGGGAGGCCAGGCATCACCCCCAGATCAGCTACATGCGGAGCCAGTGCTTTACCGACTTGTCTACTGTTCTGCCTCAAGTTTTCTAATTTGTAATTTTTTTGTTTTGTTTTGGGGCCACACATGGCCGTATTCTGTGGGTACTTCTGGCTTTAGCACTCAGGAGTCACTCCTGGCAGACTCAGGGAACCATAAGGGATGCCAGAAATCAAATTCAAGCTGGCCATGTTCAAGGCACTTAGCACCTTGCCTGCTGGACTATCTCTCCAGCTCAGGAAGATGAGTTTTAATTTCCCCATCTTCAAAACGAAAGGTTAGAGGGCTGAAGAGAGAGCTGGTAGGGTTCTAGCCCCACACGTGAGCATCCCAGCTTCAATCTCCGGCAAAAACGAACAACCTAAGGGTCGGGGCCAGACAGGTAATTTAGGTAGAAAATCATATGCTTGGCATGAGTTCGATTCATGGTACCATGTGGCTGCCTCCCCCCGCCCCATCCCAGCAGGGACACCAAGGGTATAAGCACCGCGGGGCTAGAACAGCCCCCTCCTCACCTCACCCAAGCACTGAACTGTCAGGCCTGCACTTCTGCAAAGTATCACCCCCTCTAGCCCTGACCCCAGCACAGCAGGATGTGGCTCTTACACAGAAAAAAAAAATAACAAAACCATGCTTGCTTTCTTCTATTATCTTTTTGGGGCATAAGAGTATTTTACAGCTCAGAATGATGACAGGAGCAATCAGTACTGTCTTAACTGCATAAATTTCTCCTTGAATTTTTAATCTACTTGCATGAACTCAACATCAATTTGGATTAAGAGAGAGCACTATTAAGTTAGAGTGCATACTTTGAATTCAAACAAACAGGGTTGGCATCCTGGCTCCACCACTTAACAGCTGTGTGATTTTTGGTGTTTTGGCGCCACAACTAGCAGTGCTCAGGCTTACTCCTGACTCTGCACTCAGGGGTTGCTCCTGGCAGAGTTTGGGGGATCATATCAAGTGTTGAAGATCATACCAGAGTTTGCTGCACGCAAGGCAAGTACCCTAGTCACTGTAAGAACTCTCTGGCCCCAACAGCTCTGTGATTGGGATGAATTTATTTAGTCTTGTTATGGTGAGATTCATCTTTTAAGTATGAATTATAGTAATTACTTCATAGGGCTGGAGCGATAGCACAGCGGTAGGGCGTTTGCCTTGCACGCAGCCAACATGGCCAACCCGAGTTCGGTTCCTCCGCCCCTCTCGGAGAGCCCGGCAAGCTACCGAGAGTATTCGATATGCCAGACACAGTAACAACAAAGTCTCCAATGGAGACGTTACTGGGCCCGCTCGAGCAAATCGATGATCAACGGGAGGGCCTTTACTTTACTTTACTTTTACTTCATAGGGTTGGGCTGGAGCGATAGAAACAGCGGGTAGGGCGTTTGCCTTGCACACAGCTGACCTAGCCGACCTGGGTTCGATTTCTCCATCCCTCTCAGAGAGCCCGGCAAGATACCGAGAGTATCTCACCCACATGGCAAAGCCTGGCGAGCTCCCCGTGACATATTCGATATGCCAAACACAGTAACAACAAGTCTCACAATGGAGACGTTACTGGGTCCGCTGGAACACGGGAGGACAGTGCTACAGTGCTACTTCACAGGGTTGTAAGAATTAAATCAGCTGATACATGTAAAGAGCTGAGAAATATCCCTGTCACTGTATCAACAGACAAGTAATATTCTACCTTACGCACCAATGAATGGTTAAGAATTGTCAAGGTTGTAGAGATAATTCCGGAATGGACTTGCTTTTGCATGATAACAGTAGCCTGGCCTGCTGAAGCCTCAAATCATAAAGCCAGGAGTAGCCTCTGAATACAGCTGGGGGTGTCTGATTTTCTCCCTCACCCCTGCCCCTCTACCCCTGACACACACCAAAAGATCATGTCTAATTCAGCAGTTAAAAAGCAAATGGGGGTGGGGAGAGGGCTGGAGTGATAGTACTGTGGGTAGAACGTTTGCCTTGCACACTGCCGACCAGGGTTCCATTCCCAGCATCCCATATGGTCCCCAGAGCACCACCAGGAGTAATTCCTGAGTGCATAAACCAGGAGTAACCCCTGAGCATCGCCGGGTGTGACCCAAAAAAGCAATAAAAAAAAAAAAAGGAAATGGGACTGGAGCAATAGCACAGCGGGTAGGGCATTTGCCTTGCAAGCAGCCGACCCCAGTTCGATTCCCAGCATCCCATATGGTCCCCCGAGCACCGCCAGGAGTAATTCCTGAGTGCATGAGCCAGGAGTAACCCCCCGGGTATCGCAGGGTGTGACCCCAAAACAAAACAAAACAAAAAAAGCGAACGAATGAGAATATTAATCCTGGTCCTTTACAAAAGTAAAATAGAATTCAAAATGTTGTATTAAGTTTTTTACGTCACTGGTATTAGAAGTGGATAGAGAAATTCTGTACAGCACTCAATGCCTTCATTCTATACACGAAGAAATGATTGGTCCAGAGAAATAGCATAGCTGGTTAAGGAGCATACCTGGCACTGCAGCTGACCCTGGCTCAATCCTGAGCACCGCCCACGTTCACCTGCGGACCACCAGAAAGGATCCCCGAGCAGAGTCCGGAGCAAGCACTCCACACCGTTGGATGCGGCCCACAAACGCACGCCCACCGCCCTAAAGAGAAACAAGCTTTCAGGGACCTCTTGGGGAAATCGTGGTCTCTACCCGTCCTAAAGACAAAGCACATCATCTGCAAGGCACACACAGGTATTTTGCTGAAAATCAGCGACGTGAGGGCATACCAGACCATTCAGAAATGACTTCGTCCACCTTCGAACTTCTCTAAACACTCACGTGTTTTTCGACTCACGGGCATACAAGCGGGGAAAAAAGTGTTAAACCCTCCAGGCCGGAAGAAGCAACGGTAAGATCATTAAAGGGTCAAACGCTCAACGTTTTTCACTGCCTCCAAGAAGAAGTCGGAATATGCAAAACTGAGCTGCGGGGGCTGGAGCGATAGCACAGCGGGGAGGGCGTTTGCCTTGCACGCGGCCAACCCGGGTTCGATCCCCAGCATCCCATAGGGTCCCCCGAGCACCGCCAGGGGTGATTCCTGAGTGCATGAGCCAGGAGTCAGCCCTGTGCATCGCCGGGTGTGACCCAAAAAGAAAAAAAAAAAAACCTGAGCTGCGATCGGAGAAAAACGGACAGTCCTGACCTAAGGGTGCCCCGGAAATTTTCCCGACGGTGCACGCAGATTCAACGACTTGGTGCCCACAAAACCCCGTTCCCAGCTTGTACTTCGTCGCAGCCCCGCTACGCGTACTTGCCGGCTCGCGGCAGCGAACCACGGAACGCTGAGCTCCAAGAACCCCCCGGTGCTCGCCGACACACGCGCTTCCGGCAAGCGAGGGTCCACCACCCACTTCCCAAGAGCCGGAAAAGAAATGCGTCCGGGTGGGGACTGGGCCGGAGCTTTTTCGGTTCCTAGGCCGTCTTTCTGGCTGGAGCTATTTGCACGCCTTCGTCCCAGTGGGTGCCGGCCGGGAAGCCTGCAGGCGATCGCGGCGCCCTTGCTTCTCTCGTCCAGGGCGACACGCTAGCTGCACCCGCCCCGCGGAGCGTGGGCAAACCCAGGGCGACTGCTGGATCTCCTGAGGCACCAAAAAGCTCGGAGAGATTCGGCCTTTTAAGTGGAAACGAGCCAAATCGCTTGCCATTTCTGGAGCCCACCCTTTGCAAAAACAGTAGGGTTTCTTGGGTGGACGAGGCACACTCTTGCGCACGAGGGTCCTGAGCTACTGTTATTCGAAAATGAATCAATCATCGGGTCTGGAGAGAGCGCAAAGGGCGGAACGCATGCACGGTCCCACCCCTTAGCTTCACCGGCACAGCGACCTCCGAGCCGGGAGTGCCCGTGAGGAATGCCACGCTGGCTCCAAAACCAAGAGCCCCCTTTATACTTCCCTTCTCTTTGCTAAGGGCTGGAAACTTGATTTAGACACAAAACGCGGCATGAGGAACAGGATTTTCACGCCCATGAAAGGTAGGACCCTGGACGGGGAGCTAAACCCGACAGATTTCATCACTCCTCCCGTCCTCCTCCGCTTGATCTCTTGTGTCGGTGCTTTGACCTTGGGAAGGTCCCTGCCCTTCTCTGGGCCTCCGTCCCCCGCCTATCAAAGGGAAACAGCGCCCGGCTGCTTGGAGGCCCCTTCCGAAACAACGGGAGGGCTCAGGGCGCCCCCAACAGCCCATTTCTCCGTTCCTCCGGATTCTAGGTCAAATCCGGCTCCCGGGCTGCCAGGCCACCGCTCGGCTTAACTTCCCGGGGCCCGGAGCAAACTCTGCCGGAGAGGAACCGCGTCCAGCGCGTCGGCTTCCACCCATTTCCTGCTCCGCGGCAGCCCCGCCCCTTCGCGTCGGGCGACGCCCAATCAGACCCGGGAGCGGGGAGGGACCGGCGTCCCGGCAGGCCCCGGCCAGAAGCCCCGCCCCTCGCCGGGCTGGGGGCGTGGCTCCAGCCTCGGGGCGGAACTACCAGTCCCGGCGGGCAGCGCGTCGGGTCGGCCGCGCGGGCCTGCGGAAGCCCCGGCGTGTGGCCCGCTGGGGGCTGGAGTCTCGACGCGCGCACGTGCAGCGGGGCCGGAGCGGAAGGTGGGAAGGGGTCGGGACCCGAGCGGAGCTGGGGCGTCCGATGACGCGGGGCCGGGGGAACAAAACAAAACAAAAAAAGGCGCACCGATGATCCTAGCCCCCCTCCCCCCGCCTCCTTCACGCGCGTCCTGGTGTCGCGCGAGGGGATCACGCCCCGCGGACCTCCCTCCCGCTCTGCGGCCGCGCGAAACCGGGAGGCGCGTTCGCTTCTGCAGCGGCGGGGACGGGTGACGACCGCGCGCAGAGCTGAAGCGGGGCTGGGGGCGGGGCAGGGGGAAACCGCCGTCCGCGGGGTCGAACGTCGGCGGCGCGCGGGGGGCGGGGGAGGGCGGGAGGGGAGGGGGAGGAATCAGAGGAATCACCCCCCCACACACACACGCCGGCCTTCTGCGCGTGCGCGTGCGCTCCGGTGGGCGGGGCGAGCGGGTGGGCGTGTGCGGGGAGGGGGCGGGCCCAGGCCGCCCGCCGCCCCGCCCCTCGCCCGCTCGGCCCCGCCCGGGCGGTGTGGGCCGGGCCGCCATTTTGGGGAGAGCTTTGTTATGGTTGTGGGCTCGCTGCCTCGGCCGGCTCTGGACGCGGGGGACGCTCGCCGGGACGCGGCCTCCGGAGCCCAGCTGTAGCCCCGCCGCCGCCGCCGCCGCCGCGCGGTGAGTCCGAGGGCTGCGTGGCGCCGCGCGCGGGCGCCGCTCGGGACGCCGCTCGGGTGCGGGGGCTCCGCCCGGCGCCTCCCCGCGGGGCTGCGGAAAGTAGTTGGAGGCGGCGGGCGCACAGGTGGTTGCGCGGCGGGCGGGCGGGCGGCCGGGGGTGGGGAGGGGCGGGGAGCGCGGCCCGCGGGGGGCGGCGGGCGGAAGGGGCCGAGGCGCGCCGGGGAGCGTCGGGCGGCGGCCCCGGCGCGCTCGCTCGGGCTGCAACTTCGCTCCCGGGTCGCTCCCGCACCTGAGGCGCGCCGGCCCCTCGCCCGGCCCGGGGGTGGGCGCCGCCTCGGACGGGCGTTCTGCGGCCTCGGCCGGCGGCTCCTTTTCTCTTCTTCTTCTTCTTCTTCACCTCCGCCCGAGAAAGGAAAGCAAAAAAATCCAAGAAGGGGGAAAAGACTCGTGCAAGTCCGCGGCGCCGAGTCTGAGGGGCACGAGCAGCCTCACCCTCCGCGCCCCGCTCCTCGCCCCCTCGGTCGCGGGGGGTCTCGGCGCTTGTATTTCGGAGCCGCGTCCCCGGCTCCCGCCGACCCCTCCCTCCCCCGGAAAAAAAAAAAAGAAAAAGAGAAAAAACGCTGCTGGTCGCTCGCCAAGCGTGTTTGAACGACTCGCTCCCCCCGGCCCCCCCCCCGCGGGATTTTTTTTTTAAATTTTTTATTTATTTATTTATTTATTTTCCAGTTTCCGATCTGCTCCCCACCTGGTGGGATTCTTCCGAGGGGCCGCGCCCAACACGGTGGGTCCTGCTGAGGGAAGCGCCCCGAGCTCGGGTCTCACTCCAGGGCGTCGACGCGGTCCGGTTTTTTTTTTTTTTCCCGTCGTTTCTCCCACGGACGCGGCCGCGGAGTCGTGCGACCCCCTTTTTTTTTTTTTTTTTTTTTTCTTCTCCTCGCCGTGGAGCGGCTGCTCGGGGCCGCGCTCGGGGTGGCGGAGCCGAGCTCGGAGGCGCCGGGGAGTTTTTGCTCGCTCGCTCCCTCGCTCGCTCCGAAAGTTTCCGGGCGTCCCGGGGGCGGCGGCGGCGGCGGCTGCTGCTTGTTGTTTTTGGGGGTGGTTGTTGGCGTGTCGTTTCGGGGCTCGATCGGGCCGCCCCGGGTGCGTCCCGAGGTTGGTTCGGCGTGTCCCCTTTTGTGGCCGCGTCGCTTTTCCCACGGTGGCCCTGCCTAATAAGCTCGCTGGAAAAGGAACGGGAAGTGAACGGGGGTCCGGGGGTGGGGTGGGGGCTGGTGCTCCCAGCAGTCCCGGAAAGGGTGAATCCCGTTCCGAAAGGTAAACGGCACCCGGGGAGACCGTGATGGGGTGGGCGGTTTTGTGGCCGGCTGCTGGCCCCTGGCAGGCAGCGCTCGACGCGGTTCTCCCCGACCTGGGGGTTTCTTGGACGCGTGCGAGGCTGGCAGGCGGGACGAACTGTGGTTTCGGAGTGACTCGACTGTTGGGCCCTTGGAAACAAAGCGTCTCTTTCTGTTTGCTTTCTTAAACCGCGAGAGCTGGACCTCCGGCAGAAACAAAACGGCATAGCCTGGAAACCAAAACTTAGTGAACCTCAGTTTTTTTTTTTTTTTTGCAAAGGTGCTGGAGTTTCGCGCTTAAAATGATCGAGATTTAAAAAAGTTAGCAAATGCTGATTGTGCATGCAAACTTTGGAATAGTAAAGTGAGTTGTCATCTTTTCTGCAGTATCGGTTTTAGCCTACGGTTTACTTGGGTTTTTTTTTCTTTTTTTGGCCTTTTGCTTCAAACCCAGCGATCCTAGAGGTTACTCCTGGCTCTGCGCTCAGAAATTACGCCCGAGGAGACCAAAGTTTGGGATGTGCAGGATCGAATCCGGGTGGGCTGCGTACACGCAGGTGCCCTGCCTGCTGTATTGTCTGTGTTGTCGCTCCGGCCCAAGGTTTACCTTTGTTTTAACCCAAAAGTTTTTCTCCATTCCTGTGTTTTTTTTTTTTTTAACGCGAACTGGTTTTGATAGTTTTACAAGAAAAACTTGAAGATACTTTATAAAACTTAGAATCAGTCTGTTTTTGTTTTGACATCGTTACTTGATTGACCCAACCAGTTTGGCTGAGATTTTAAACCTGATTTTTTTAGATGCTCAGAAGGTTTTCTTTGCATATTGGTGTAATTTTTTTTTTTCGGTTGGTTCTAGGGAGTATGAGAAATTGGTATCAGTAAGAGCTAGTAGCACATGGATAGGAAGATTTCTTCTTATTTTGAATGAATTCGACTTACTGATTTTAACAGACAGTAGTTGTCAAACTTGACAAAAAAAGGACATGTCCAACCATTTAAAAAAGTTTTGGGAGGTGGAGAGGTAGCACAAGGGCAGGAGTGCTTGCCGTACTCCCAGCAACCCAGGTTGGATCACTAATTATCCCATGTGATCCCTAAAGCCCATCATCATTGATCGCTGAATGCAGAGCCTGGAGTAACTCCTGCGCACCACTGGGGGTGCCACCCCAAAACAAAAAGTAGGGTGGAATGAAATTTGGGGTGCATTTTTATTATGATTAATATTTGTATCATGACATTTTTACATCAACATTCGTTTACTAGAGTGTAAGTATTTGTTTTTAGGGATGACTGTTACCTCATCAGAGTTATCACTGTATCCCATCAGTACAGACCATAGGACCTTTCCTTTCCTCTCCCCACCTCAGTTCTGTGAGCAGTGTGATTTATAATGCTCAGTTCAGCGGTTCTCCAGTGGATTGCTCATCTTTCTTTGGATTGGGTGTTGTTGTTGTTGTTGTTGTTTGTGCCACACTCAGCAGTGCTCAGGGATTACTTCTGGCTCCGCACTCCGAAATTACTTCTCTTGGTGCTCAGGTGACCATATGGAATGCTGATGATGGAACCCAGATTGGCCTCATGCAAGGCAAGCACCCTGCCAGCTGGACTATCTCTCCCACCCAACTTATCTTTGTTTTATGACTAACTTATATGCAGTTAATTGTCAGCATTCTAATATATCAGTACTGACTGTTGGTTAGAATGTTTTACTCATGAAGCAGTTTTTTTTGGTCCTTATTTTATAGTTGAGGGAAATATGTCCAGAGATTTATCCAGCTCGTAAGTAGCACAACCTGTATTCCAGTCTAAATACTTTCCTTCTTCACATCTGCTCAGTCATTACTCCTTATGGGCTCGGGATCACATGGGGTGCTGGGGGCTGAACTTGGGTGATCCACATGTATGCAAGCACTCTGCTCACTGTACTCTCCAAAGTCTTAAGATACCTGGGTTTTTTGTGTTTTGTTTTCTTTTCTTTTTGGGTCACACCCAACAATGCACAGAGATTACTCAGGAAATACTCCTGGCGGTGCTCAGGGGACCATATGGGATTCTGGGAATCGAACCCGGGTTAGCCACGTGCAAGACAAATGCCCTACCCACTGTGCTATCACTCTAGCCCCCAAGTTATCTGTTTTTAAAGTCACTTTTCGTATTACAGCTGTTGTTCTTAACCTTGAAAGACAGTTTCATTGGAAAGATGAAAAACAACAACAAAAATAATCAGAGTGGCCCACTTGAAAAAATTGTTCATGGAACAGGTAGATTTTGGTGTCATTAAATGATTTTTCAAATAGATGGGACTAGGATGGAGATTGGGTCCTACATTGATAACTTGCTACCTCATATGTGACTAGTTACTCAAGCCTGAATCTATTTTGTGATTTTGCTGATACCTAGTTGCCAAGTCACTTCTAAATCAGACCCTTTTTTCGGGGAGGGCAGAGGGCTGCATACCCTGTGAAGCTAAGGGGTTACTCCTGGCTCCGCACTCAAGAATCACTCCTGGCAGTGCTTGAGGGACCATATGGGATGCCTGGAATCAAACCTTGATTAGCCATTTGCAAGGCAAATGTCCTACATGTTATACTATCGCTGCGGTCCCAAAATCAGACTTATTTTTACTTCCCAAATAAGTTGTAGAACAAAACTAATCAAATTTAAAAAATAATTCAGTAGGAGGAGCTGAGTTAATTTTTCTATCCACATATAAATCTGTGCATCTTTCTTGAGTTGGGGAGGCCCACACCTGGTGGTACTCAGGAGTTACTGCTAGTTCTGCATTCAGGAATCACTTCTGGCAACTTGAGGAACCATATAGGATGCTGGACATCAAACCGGGGTCAGGCACGCACAAGGCAAGTAAGTGCCTAGAGGCTGTGCTGTCTCTCCAGCTTCACGTCTGTACATCTTAACTAATGAAGTAAAATACTCCTAATATTATATAAACTGAGTTTTTATAGGTGGTTTCAAATATATTTGGCAAATACTTAAAAGGAGTCTAGGGCCATAGAGAGTATACAGGATTTAAGGTGCTTGCCCTGCAAGGTTCCATCCCCTCTACCACAAGTGGTTCCCTGAACATGAGTAAGCCCTGAGCACAGCAGGGGCCCAAACCAACCAAGTCTGATTATTTGCTGTAGTAAAAGAAAAAGAGCTCCTGGACTTCTTTAATTTTTGTTTTACTGTACCACAATCTGGTGATGCTCAGTGTTTACTTCTACTTACGTGTTTAGGGTTATTCTTGGTGTTGGGGAGGGGGAAACATATTCATTGCCCAGCGTAGAACCAAGATGTCTCTGACCTTGATAATTAGATTTTAATTGATCTGATGGGCATTAAAACTATTTTTCATACAGGTATTTTGAGGGGCTGGTGAGATAGCACTTCAGGTTGGACCACTGGCTCTGGTTGAATCCTGGCACCGCTTTGTGGTCCCCAAGAACCACTAGGAATAAGCTCTGAGAACTGCAGGGTATCCCCTCCCCCCAAAAAAAAATTCCATCATTCTTTCTAGGAATACTAGAGGTTGTACTGTAGTTCCTTTAGTGCCTAGGGCTAGGAATACCTGGATGGCCAGAAGACATCCCTGCCTCCAAACTGTATCGTAGCTTAACAGATAAGCACCACAAAGTGTTCACAAGAAAACAACATGGTCTTTCTTAAAGG